GGTTGTTTGTCCAGTTCTTCGGTCTTCAGTTCTGATTTTCTGTAGTATCGTTAAAGATCTTTATTACTCCAAGCTCGAGTCTTGCCAAACAGGTTTTAAATATTCCAGTTTCTTGAATTTAGATCACTCTAAAGCTTCCATTTTGAGATAGTAGTACCAAGATTACAGGTGATATACCCAACCGATCATTGAATAAATGTTACCAGAACACAGGCCTATTTTTTAAAAAATGTCTCTGGTAGGAATCGAACTCTAGACCTGCTGCTTGGGGGTGACAGCTTAACAACTACTCTACATCGCCATACCGGTTTAACTGCAATATTTAAAAACGTGGAAGACATTATTAAATATATCAATAAAATATAGATAATGAAGAATTTAGTCTTGATGTATCTTTGTTAAAACTTATGAGATATAGTAAGGAACCCAATACAAGCAAGATTTTTTCAAAATATTTACAACAAAAGGCTTATGATTTTATTGAAAACTCATTACATCATCCAAGCAAAAGTTGATTACAAGTAGAAAATTATAAAGTCAAAAAATTAATCAGTTAAACAAAAGAAATAAGTCTTTAAATAATAGAATTAGAAAATATAAATAAATGCAAAAAAAAAATTTTTTAGCCTGTTTTGTGGTATATAAAACATCTATAGTCACTAATAAACAATTGAAATTAGCCATTTGAAATCAGCTTATAAAAAATAAAAAACAATATAGTACTAAAGTCATTTTAATAGTTACACAAATTTGTAAAATTAGAAAAATATCTTACCAATCTGCAGTAACTTGCACAAAGAAGATAATTAAATAGTTAATAGATGAAAATCCAGATAAGTAGTTTTCTGCTAACACTCTTGTTGAATAGTATAAAGATGTTTCAAATATTCATATAACCCAACAATGTGCTATTGTTAAAACTTTAAAATTGTTTTGTTATATATTTTATGTATTGGGATTTAAATGCTAATGAATTAAAAGTTATCTTATTAGAGTTTAAAGATTTAGCTTAATATTCAGGTATATTAGTCGCAAGTGCTATTATTAAAGCTTGTAACCAATATCAGTTGGATCTAATTAAATATTTACCTTGAACAAGCAATAATATAGTATACATGTCAGGTCACAAAAATGGTGCTGTAATATTATTTAACAAAGAAGTTAACTCAAATTCATTTCAAATTTCTTGTTGACTTCATGCGGCACATATAATGATAACAAATTTTGAAAATGCTGCTTTTGGAAAATTAAAGGTTGTGGTAGTATTACAAATTGTTTTAATTAGCAACTAATCGATTAATTGATTAGTTGCAATTAGTTAATTAAAGAATTAATTATTATCATTTGTAAAATTATGTGAAATTTGAAGATCATTGAAAAAAATAATCACTGGTTACTTACTGATTTCTTAAACATGTTTTATCATTTTGTAAAAAATTTGACGAATTTTTTATAGAAATGAAAGTTGCATATTCATCAATTTGTAATATATTCACAAAAATAGAAGTTGTACATTAATATTTTTACAAAATAATAATATTTGCTCAATATGTAAGTATCAGATAGCTTTTGTCTTGAGTCATAAACCTTCTTGATTAGATATATGACAGGCTTTATATTTATATATTCGATAAATCATCAATTAAACAAATATAAGTTAGTGATTAGTAATTCAACCAGTTATTAAAATATACAGATATTAATTAATTAGTTTTGAGATAATTAAATAAATATGAGGTAATTGCTTCATAGCATATTAGTAGGTAATTATCGATCAGAATTACTTTTGTCTTTTCTGCTACCTACCCATCTCAAGGGTAAGACAATATTGTAAAGACTAGCTAGCTAAGATAGCCACCATGATAGAAAGTTGAATTGTGTAAGTCTTTAAGTTAACTATGTTGTAAGTTGTGACAGTCGCACAGATTAGTATTGTCTGTTAAATGATAGCTAATATGATACAAAGCCAAGAGCAAATATAAATATAAAAAGAAAAAGAAAAAAAAGAAAACCAACTGATGCTCAGAAAGGATCTGTTAATATTCTTCATAGTGATAATTCTGAAAATAAGAGACAAAACAAAAATACAATTTTGTTTAATCTAAAAAAATATTAATAAATCAGTAATCAGTAATTGGTATTCAGTGATTACTTTTTTTTTATCTAATTTTGTAAACCGCAAAAATTTTTAAATTGATTAGTTGGTATCTTAAAAGTTTAGTCAATTAGTTGTCAACTAACCAACTAATTGAGTTTTTAACTTTCAATTTGTAATACTAATTAAAGGTCGAAAAGGGATTTTTCATCTAAAAACATCTGTTCAATTTACTTTACATTATTTGGAAGCTACATAATGGCTATAGCAAAAGCAATAAGAATAGCCTAATAAATATGAAGTCTTTCTACATTTTTGATCTATACTTTAAACTTTTTGGTATTCAATTATCTAAGTTTTAAAAGCCTTTGCAATAGCGATAGTTATACAAATTACAGGTGGCAAGACAACTAGTAGAAAGAAGAGAATATATAGAAAAATTCACTATCTAGTTTTTAAATAATTTAAAACTAAAAAAAAATTCCAAAAAAATCCCTCTTCGCTAATCATCAATTCCAAAAAAATTGATAAAGCAAAAACAAAGGATTTCTCAACAAACAACATATAAAACAATCCTTTTGATATTAAGGAAAAAGATTCAGCATAGAAAATTACCTAAAGTCTTTTAATACAAGAACTCCAAGATAATTAAACTCAAAGAAACATATTACTTTTTGAAAAATTTTTACAAAAAATCAGAACTTTTGAATTTTCTTTCTAGACCCTGTAAATTTAACAACACAAACACGTGACAGGAGATCACCAAACAACAAACAAATAAACAAAACAATCATATTTTATAATAGGAAATAACAACAATAAACAAACAAGTAATTATTTGCTATTTTGGAAAATATTGTTATTCAGCAACAACAAATAGCAATTTCAACACGTGGATTTACAGAAAACAACAAAGAAATTTAGAAAGTTCTAGCAAAATAGAAAGAGTCAACCAAACCAGTTTGAACAAGTTTAATAGTATATATACATAGAGCAAAGTGAAAAAGTTCTTAGGTATATAAATGATCAAAAGTTACACTGATGGAACCAAACGATATCAACAACTTAGTCAAGGACCTAGTAATAAGAAACCCAGATCATATAACAGTTTATGAGCTACTATTGTATGGTTAAATAAAAAAATGCTTTGAGAGAAGCAGATCTCTGCTTTTAAGAAGATACAATCAAAAGATGGGCTGAGAAAGCCAAAATTGCAAGAAACAACCTAGCATCAATTGAGTATATAACAAACATGAGTAAGGAAAAAATACAAAAAGAGAAGAACAAGATGGATGGAATAGAGAGAGAAACTCACACCAAGACAACCAGGCAACAGGTCCAAAGAAACGAAAACAAGAAGAAGTTGAAGATAAACCTAACAAAGATATAAATGAAGTTATAGAACAAATACAAGACTTGAAGATCAAAACAATATCAGAGATACAAACAGGTGATTCGTCCACCTCTATGTCTGATCCCTCAAGTTACGCAATAGTAGAAGACAGAGTCACAAAAATATCAAGAGAGAAAAAGTGAAAAAAGATGAAGATACTCCAATCAATCGAATCCTTGTAGATACTATTAAAAGAAGTAAAGAATATAAACAAAAAGAAATCAAGAAT